TTAGAGGAGTCAGCACCCTGCTTTAGAGGAGTCAGCACCCTGCTTTAGAGGAGTCAGCACCCTGCCTTAGAGGAGTCAGCACCCTGCTTTAGTGGTGTCAGCACCCTGCTTTAGAGGTGTCAGCACCCTGCTTAGAGGTGTCAGCACCCTGCTTTAGAGGTGTCAGCACCCTGCCTTAGAGGAGTCAGCACCCTGCTTAGTGGTGTCAGCACCCTGCTTTAGTGGTGTCAGCACCCTGCTTTATAGGTGTCAGCACCCTGCCTTAGAGGTGTCAGCACCCTGCCTTAGAGGAGTCAGCACCCTGCTTTAGAGGTGTCAGCACCCTGCTTTAGAGGTGTCAGCACCCTGCCTTAGAGGTGTCAGCACCCTGCTTTAGAGGTGTCAGCACCCTGCTTTAGAGGAGTCAGCACGCTGCCTTAGAGGTGTCAGCACCCTGCTTTAGAGGAGTCAGCACCCTGCCTTAGAGGTGTCAGCACCCTGCCTTAGAGGTGTCAGCACCCTGCTTTAGAGGTGTCAGCACCCTGCCTTAGAGGTGTCAGCACCCTGCCTTAGAGGTGTCAGCACCCTGCTTTAGAGGTGTCAGCACCCTGCCTTAGAGGTGTCTGCACCCTGCCTTAGAGGTGTCAGCACCCTGCCTTAGAGGTGTCAGCACCCTGCTTTAGAGGAGTCAGCACCCTGCTTTAGAGGAGTCAGCACCCTGCTTTACAGGTGTCAGCACCCTGCCTTAGAGGAGTCAGCACCCTGCTTTAGAGGTGTCAGCACCCTGCAACATAGAGTCAGCACCCTGCCTTAGAGGTGTCAGCACCCTGCCTTAGAGGTGTCAGCACCCTGCCTTAGAGGAGTCAGCACCCTGCTTTAGAGGAGTCAGCACCCTGCTTTAGAGGAGTCAGCACCCTGCCTTAGAGGAGTCAGCACCCTGCTTTAGAGGAGTCAGCACCCTGCTTTAGAGGTGTCAGCACCCTGCTTTAGAGGTGTCAGCACCCTGCTTTAGAGAAGTCAGCACCCTGCAACATGGAGTCAGCACCCTGCCTTAGAGGTGTCAGCACCCTGCTTTAGTGGTGTCAGCACCCTGCCTTAGAGGTGTCAGCACCCTGCTTTAGAGGTGTCAGCACCCTGCCTTAGAGGTGTCAGCACCCTGCTTTAGAGGTGTCAGCACCCTGCCTTAGAGGTGTCAGCACCCTGCTTTAGTGGAGTCAGCACCCTGCCTTAGAGGAGTCAGCACCGTGCTTTAGAGGAGTCAGCACCCTGCTTTAGTGGTGTCAGCACCCTGCTTTATAGGTGTCAGCACCCTGCTTTAGTGGTGTCAGCACCCTGCTTTAGAGGAGTCAGCACCCTGCTTTAGTGGTGTCAGCACCCTGCTTTAGAGGAGTCAGCACCCTGCTTTAGTGGTGTCAGCACCCTGCCTTAGAGGTGTCAGCACCCTGCTTTAGAGGTGTCAGCACCCTGCTTTAGAGGTGCCAGCACCCTGCCTTAGAGGTGTCAGCACCCTGCTTTAGAGGAGTCAGCACCCTGCAACATGGAGTCAGCACCCTGCCTTAGAGGTGTCAGCACCCTGCTTTAGAGGAGTCAGCACCCTGCCTTAGAGGTGTCAGCACCCTGCTTTAGAGGAGTCAGCACCCTGCTTTAGAGGTGTCAGCACCCTGCTTTAGAGGTGTCAGTACCCTGCTTTAGAGGTGTCAGCACCCTGCCTGAGAGGAGTCAGCAGCCTGCTTTAGAGGAGTCAGCACCCTGCTTTAGTGGTGTCAGCACCCTGCAACATGGTGTCAGCACCCTGCTTTAGAGGAGTCAGCACCCTGCCTTAGAGGAGTCAGCACCCTGCTTTAGAGGAGTCAGCACCCTGCTTTAGAGGAGTCAGCACCCTGCTTTAGTGGTGTCAGCACCCTGCTTTAGTGGTGTCAGCACCCTGCAACATGGTGTCAGCACCCTGCCTTAGAGGTGTCAGCACCCTGCTTTAGAGGAGTCAGCACCCTGCCTTAGTGGTGTCAGCACCCTGCTTTAGAGGTGTCAGCACCCTGCTTTAGTGGAGTCAGCACCCTGCCTTAGAGGAGTCAGCACCCTGCCTTAGAGGTGTCAGCACCCTGCTTTAGAGGTGTCAGCACCCTGCTTTAGAGGTGTCACCACCCTGCCTTAGAGGTGTCAGCACCCTGCCTTAGAGGTGTCAGCACCCTGCTTTAGAGGTGTCAGCACCCTGCCTTAGAGGTGTCAGCACCCTGCTTTAGAGGTGTCAGCACCCTGCCTTAGAGGAGTCAGCACCCTGCTTTAGAGGTGTCAGCACCCTGCTTTAGAGGAGTCAGCACCCTGCTTTAGTGGTGTCAGCACCCTGCATTATTGGTGTCAGCACCCTGCAACATAGTGTCAGCACCCTGCTTTAGAGGAGTCAGCACCCTGCCTTAGAGGAGTCAGCACCCTGCTTTAGAGGAGTCAGCACCCTGCTTTACAGGTGTCAGCACCCTGCTTTAGTGGTGTCAGCACCCTGCTTTAGAGGAGTCAGCACCCTGCCTTAGAGGAGTCAGCACCCTGCTTTAGAGGAGTCAGCACCCTGCCTTAGAGGTGTCAGCACCCTGCCTTAGAGGTGTCAGCACCCTGCTTTAGAGGTGTCAGCACCCTGCTTTAGAGGAGTCAGCACCCTGCTTTAGAGGTGTCAGCACCCTGCCTTAGAGGTGTCAGCACCCTGCTTTAGAGGTGTCAGCACCCTGCTTTAGAGGTGTCAGCACCCTGCCTTAGAGGTGTCAGCACCCTGCCTTAGAGGAGTCAGCACCCTGCTTTAGAGGAGTCAGCACCCTGCTTTAGAGGTGTCAGCACCCTGCTTTAGAGGAGTCAGCACCCTGCTTTAGTGGAGTCAGCACCCTGCCTTAGAGGTGTCAGCATCCTGCTTTAGAGGTGTCAGCACCCTGCCTGAGAGGAGTCAGCACCCTGCTTTAGAGGAGTCAGCACCCTGCTTTAGAGGTATCAGCACCCTGCTTGAGAGGAGTCAGCACCCTGCTTTAGCGGAGTCAGCACCCTGCTTTAGTGGTGTCAGCACCCTGCCTTAGAGGTGTCAGCACCCTGCTTTAGAGGAGTCAGCACCCTGCTTTAGAGGTGTCAGCACCCTGCTTTAGAGGAGTCAGCACCCTGCTTTAGTGGTGTCAGCACCCTGCTTTAGAGGAGTCAGCACCCTGCTTTAGAGGTGTCAGCACCCTGCTTTAGAGGAGTCAGCACCCTGCTTTAGAGGAGTCAGCACCCTGCTTTAGAGGAGTCAGCACCCTGCTTTAGAGGTGTCAGCACCCTGCTTTAGAGGAGTCAGCACCCTGCTTTAGAGGTGTCAGCACCCTGCTTTAGAGGAGTCAGCACCCTGCTTTAGAGGAGTCAGCACCCTGCTTTAGAGGTGTCAGCACCCTGCTTTAGTGGTGTCAGCACCCTGCTTTAGTGGTGTCAGCACCCTGCCTTAGAGGTGTCAGCACCCTGCTTTAGTGGTGTCAGCACCCTGCATTAGAGGAGTCAGCACCCTGCTTTAGAGGTGCAGCACCCTGCCTCAGAGGAGCTGCTTGGGCACGTTCAGCCCTTCTCAGCCCTTCCCCTCTAGGCCCCGCCCCTTCCCCTCTAGGCCCCGCCCCTTCCCATCTAGACCCCGCCTCTTTTCATCCAGGCCCTGCCTCTTCCCATCCAGCTCCCGCCTCTTCCCATTCAGGCCCCGCCCCTTTCCCTCATCACATTAATCTACATCCAGCAGTGAAGAGAGCACGGTCAATGATGCTGATGCCGCTGATGATGTCAAGATGATGCTGCTGATGTCATGATGCCGCTGATGATGTCATGATGATGCTGATGATGTCATGATGCTGATGATATCATGATGCTACTGATAATGCTGCTGCTGATGATATAATGATGCTGATGATGTCATGATGATGCTGCTGATGATGCTGATGATGTCATGATGATGCTGCTGATGATGATGATGCTGATGCCCCTAATGATGTCATGATGATGCTGATGATGTCATGATGATGCTGATGATGTCATGATGATGCTGATAATGCTGCTGCTGCTGCTGATAATGATCCTGCTGCTGCTGATGATGTTGCTCTTGATGCTGCTGCTGATGATTTTGCTGCTGATGATGATGGGGATGATGCTGCTGATGATGGGGATGATGCTGCTGATGATGGGGATGATGCTGCTGATGATGATGATGATGCTGCTGATGATGATGATGCTGTTGATGATGATGGTGATGATACTGCTGATGATGATGCTGCTGCTGATGATGATGATGATGCTGCTGCTGCTGATGATGCTGCTGCTGCTGCTGATGATGATGATGTTGATGATGATGTTGATGATGCTGCTGATGATGATGATGCTGCTGCTGCTGCTGATGATGCTGCTGCTGATGATAATGCTGCTGCTGATGATGATGCTGCTGCTGATGATGATGGTGATGATGATGTTGATGATGATGCTGCTGATGCCCCTGATGTCATGATGATGCTGATGATGTCATGATGATGCTGATAATGCTGCTGCTGATGCTGCTGATGATGATCCTGCTGCTGCAGATGATGTTGCTCTTGATGCTGCTGCTGATGAATTTGCTGCTGATCATGATGGGGATGATGCTGCTGATGATGGGGATGATGCTGCTGATGATTATGATGATGCTGCTGCTGATGATGATGGTGATGATGATGATTATGCTGCTACTGCTGATGATGTTGATGATGATGTTGATGATGCTGCTGTTGATGATGATGCTGCTGCTGATGATGATGCTGCTGATGATGATGCTGCTGATGATGCTGCTGCTGATGAGGATGATTATGGTGATGATGATGCTGCTGCTGCTGCTGATGATGATGATGCTGCTGCTGATGATGCTGCTGATGATGATGATGATGCTGATGAGGATGATTATGGTGATGATGATGCTGCTGCTGCTGCTGATGATGATGATGCTGCTGCTGATGATGCTGCTGATGATGATGTTGATGATGATGCTGCTGCTGTCTGCTGGGACTCACCGATGGGCGAGATTTTGATGAGGCCGCCAGTCGCCAACTTCCCCGAATTCCGCTTCTTATCAGCCCCTGAGGGACAGATCAGCGTTGAAGCCCGCTCAGAAACACACACAGAGATGTTGACTACATCACCTGGTACACAGGAGGTCTATGTGGGTCCTCACTAGAGATGTTGACTACCTCACCTGGTACACAGGAGGTCTATGTGGGTCCTCACTAGAGATGTTGACTACATCACCTGGTACACAGGAGGTCTATGTGGGTCCTCACTAGAGATGTTGACTACATCACCTGGTACACAGGAGGTCTATGTGGGTCCTCACTAGAGATGTTGACTACATCACCTGGTACACAGGAGGTCTATGTGGGTCTTCACTAGAGATGTTGACTACATCACCTTGTACACAGGAGGTCGTGGGTCTTCACTAGAGATGTTGACTACATCACCTGGTACACAGGAGGTCTATGTGGGTCCTCACTAGAGATGTTGACTACATCACCTGGTACACAGGAGATCGTGGGTCCTGACTAGAGATGTTGACTACCTCGCCTGGTACACAGGAGGTCTATGTGGGTCCTGACTAGAGATGTTGACTACCTCGCCTGGTACACAGGAGGTCTATGTGGGTCCTCACTAGAGATGTTGACTACATCACCTGGTACACAGGAGGTCGTGGGTCCTGACTAGAGATGTTGACTACCTCACCTGGTACACAGGAGGTCTACGTGGGTCCTCACTAGAGATGTTGACTACATCACCTGGTACACAGGAGGTCGTGGGTCCTCACTAGAGATGTTGACTACCTCGCCTGGTACACAGGAGGTCTACGTGGGTCCTCACTAGAGATGTTGACTACCTCGCTTGGTACACAGGAGGTCGTGGGTCCTGACGAGAGATGTTGACTACCTCGCCTGGTACACAGGAGGTCTATGTGGGTCCTCACTAGAGATGTTGACTACCTCGCCTGGTCTACAGGAGGTCGTGACAGTGATTATCTGAACCGGTCCTGGGCCTCCCCTAGGTCGACTCAACTGAGTGCTACCTGGTGTAGCTGTGGTGTGTAGTGAACATCGCCAGCACTGGGGGAGAGACAAAGGCGGCCGGGCGTGGTGCTGGTAGCCACCCACCCCCTCTGTGTGTGTGTAGGTGCTGCTACTCGCTACTAACAGCACTTGCCCCTACAGCGTGCTAGAGGCTACCTGGGGGATATTTATCTGTGTGTGTAGGTGCTGCTACTCCCTACTAACAGCACTTGCCCCTACAGCCTGCTAGAGGCTACCTGTGGGATCTTTGTCTGTGTGTGTAGGTGCTGCTACTCCCTACTAACAGCACTTGCCCCTACAGCCTGCTAGAGGCTACCTGGGGGATCTTTGTCTGTGTGTATAGGTGCTGCTACTCGCTACTCACAGCACTTGCCCCTACAGCCTGCTAGAGGCTACCTGGGGGATCTTTGTCTGTGTGTGTGTAGGTGCTGCTACTCGCTACTTGCCCCTACAGCCTGCTAGAGGCTACCTGGGGGATCTTTGTCTGTGTGTGTAGGCGCTGCTACTCGCTAACAGCACTTGCCCCTACATCCTGCTAGAGGCTACCTGGGGGATCTTTGTCTGTGTGTGTAGGTGCTGCTACTCGCTACTAACAGCACTTGCCCCTACAGCCTGCTAGAGGCTACCTGGGGGGTCTTTGTCTGTGTGTAGGTGCTGCTACTCGCTACTCACAGCACTTGCCCCTACAGCCTGCTAGAGGCTACCTGGGGGATCTTTGTCTGTGTGTGTAGGCGCTGCTACTCGCTACTAACAGCACTTGCCCCTACAGCCTGCTAGAGGCTACCTGGGGGATCTTTGTCTGTGTGTGTGTGTGTAGGTGCTACTACTCGCTACTCTCAGCATTTGCCCCTACAGCCTGCTAGAGGCTACCTGGGGGATCTTTGTCTGTGTGTGTGTGTGTAGGTGCTGCTACTCGCTACTAACAGCACTTGCCCCTACAGCCTGCTAGAGGCTACCTGGGGGATCTTTGTCTTTGTTACCTGTGAACAGGCTGAGCGGCAGGTAAATCTTCACGCGACGTCCAGCATGCTCACCTGGTGAGTGGTGAGTTGGGGTGGGGCAATAGGTGAGCATACATAGTGTAGTGTATAGTGTAGTGTATAGTAGTGTAGTGTATAGTAGTGTAGTGTATAGTGTAGTGTATAGTAGTGTAGTGTATAGTGTAGTGTATAGTGTAGTGTATAGTGTAGTGTATAGAAGTGTATAGTGTAGTGTATAGTGTAGTGTATAGTGTAGTGTATAGTAGTGTAGTGTATAGTGTAGTGTATAGTAGTGTAGTGTATAGTGTAGCGTATAGTAGTGTAGTGTATAGTGTAGTGTATAGTGTAGTGTATAGTAGTGTAGTGTATAGTGTAGTGTATAGTGTAGTGTATAGTGTAGTGTAGTGTATAGTGTAGTGTATAGTAGTGTAGTGTATAGTGTAGTGTATAGTGTAGTGTATAGTGTAGTGTATAGTAGTGTAGTGTATAGTGTAGTGTATAGTGTAGTGTATAGTAGTGTAGTATATAGTGTATAGTGTAGTGTATAGTAGTGTAGTGTATAGTGTAGTGTATAGTGTAGTGTATAGTAGTGTATAGTGTAGTGTATAGTGTCGTGTATTGTAGTGTATAGTGTAGTGTATAGTAGTGTATAGTATAGTGTAGTGTATAGTGTAGTGTATAGTGTAGTGTATAGTAGTGTATAGTGTAGTGTATAGTGTAGTGTATTGTAGTGTATAGTGTAGTGTATAGTAATGTAGTGTATAGTAGTGTAGTGTATAGTGTAGTGTATAGTGTAGTGTATAGTGTAGTGTATAGTGTAGTGTGTAGTGTGTAGTGTAGTGTATAGTAGTGTATAGTAGTGTAGTGTATAGTGTAGTGTATAGTAGTGTAGTAGTGTATAGTAGTGTAGTGTATAGTAGTGTAGTGTATAGTGTAGTGTATAGTGTATCTGGGAGAGACCACGTGGGGTGGATGACGGAGACAGGGGAGGGACAGAGAGAAGCCTAGAAGGTGATTGGCTGGTGACAGGGGAGGGAGAGAGAGAAACCTAGAAGGTGATTGGCTGGTGACAGGGGAGGGAGAGAGAGCCTGGATGGTGATTGACTGGTGACAGGGGAGGGAGAGAGAGGCCTGGAAGGTGATTGGCTGGTGACAGGCGAGGGAGAGAGAGGCCTGGAAGGTGATTGGCTGGTGACATGCGAGGGAGAGAGAGGCCTGGAAGGTGATTGGCTGGAGACAGGCGAGGGAGAGAGAAACCTAGAAGGTGATTGGCTGGAGACAGGCGAGGGAGAGAGGCCTGGAAGGTGATTGGCTGGTGATGGGCAAGGGAGAGATAAGCCTGGAAGGTGATTGGCTGGAGACAGGCGAGGGAGAGAGAAGCCTTGATGGTGATTGGCTGGTGACAGGGGAGGGAGAGAGAGGCCTGGATGGTGATTGGCTGGTGACAGGGGAGGGAGAGAGAGGCCTGGATGGTGATTGGCTGGGTGATTCTCTTACCGGGGAGTCGAGTGCCCACGTGCTCCAGGCCTGGTCTCATCCCCTCCACCTCGTCCACCTCCTCCACCTCCTCCTCTCCACCCATCCTTACCTCATCCTCCAAGCCCTGGCGCAGAGACGCGGGATGAGTGGTAGGGCGATGGGAGGTCAGCGTCATCATCGTCGTCATCATCGTCATCGTCGTCATCAACGTCATTGTCGTCGTCATCATCGTCATCATCGTCATTGTCATCATCCTCGTCATTGTCATCAACGTCATTGTCGTCATCATCATCATCGTCGTCATTGTCATCATCGTCATCGTCATCATCGTCATCATCGTCATCGTCGTCATTGTCATCAACGTCATTGTCGTCGTCATCGTCATCATCGTCATCGTCATCATCGTCGTCATTGTCATCAACGTCATTGTCGTCATCATCATCGTCGTCATTGTCATCATCGTCATCGTCATCATCGTCATCATCATCATCATCGTCATCATCGCCATCGTCATCATCATCATCATCGCCATCATCATTGTCATCGTCGTCATCATCATCGTCATCAACGTCATTGTCGTCATTGTCATCGTCATCATCACCAAATGACATGAAATCACTACTAATTATTATTTTTAAAGCTTATTGTTGCACATTCTTGGATGACGTTTTGTAAATTGTCCACGGTACCAAATTGGCTTAACGATGGGACCCAAAATACCACCAGTCAACGAAATGGTGATGTGGTTACTACAGCTGGTGATGGGTGATGGCTGAGATGGTGATGTAGTCACTACAGCTGGTGATGGGTGATGGCTGTGATGGTGATGTAGTCACTACAGCTGGTGATGGGTGATGGTGATGTAGTCACTACAGCTGGTGATGGGGCGATGGCTGAGATGGTGATGTAGTAACTACAGCTGGTGATGGGTGATGGCTGAGATGGTGATGTAGTCACTACAGCTGGTGATAGGTGATGGTGATGTAGTCACTACAGCTGGTGATGGGGCGATGGCTGAGATGGTGATGTAGTAACTACAGCTGGTGATGGGTGATGGCTGAGATGGTGATGTAGTCACTACAGCTGGTGATGGGTGATGGTGATGTAGTCACTACAGCTGGTGATGGGGCGATGGCTGAGATGGTGATGTAGTAACTACAGCTGGTGATGGGGTGATGGTGATGTAGTCACTACAGCTGGTGATGGTTGTGATGGTGATGTAGTAACTACAGCTGGTGATGGGGTGATGGTGATGTAGTCACTACAGCTGGTGATGGGGTGATGGCTGAGATGGTGATGTAGTCACTACAGCTGGTGATGGGTGTGGGGTGATGGCTGAGATGGTGATGTAGTCACTACAGCTGGTGATGGGTGATGGTGATGTAGTCACTACAGCTGGTGATGGGGTGATGGTGATGGTGATGTAGTCACTACAGCTGGTGATGGGTGATGGCTGTGATGGTGATGTAGTCACTACAGCTGGTGATGGCTGAGATGGTGATGTAGTCACTACAGCTGGTGATGGTTGTGATGGTGATGTAGTCACTACAGCTGGTGATGGGTGATGGTGATGTAGTCACTACAGCTGGTGATGGCTGAGATGGTGATGTAGTCACTACAGCTGGTGATGGTTGTGATGGTGATGTAGTCACTACAGCTGGTAATGGGTGATGGCTGAGATGGTGATGTAGTCACTACAGCTGGTGATGGGGTGATGGTGATGTAGTCACTACAGCTGGTGATGGCTGAGATGGTGATGTAGTCACTACAGCTGGTGATGGGGTGATGGCTGTGATGGTGATGTAGTCACTACAGCTGGTGATGGCTGAGATGGTGATGTAGTCACTACAGCTGGTGATGGGGTGATGGCTGAGATGGTGATGTAGTCACTACAGCTGGTGATGGGGTGATGGCTGTGATGGTGATGTAGTCACTACAGCTGGTGATGGGGTGATGGTGATGTAGTCACTACAGCTGGTGATGGGTGATGGCTGAGATGGTGATGTAGTCACTACAGCTGGTGATGGGGTGATGGCTGAGATGGTGATGTAGTCACTACAGCTGGTGATGGGGTGATGGTGATGTAGTCACTACAGCTGGTGATGGCTGAGATGGTGATGTAGTCACTACAGCTGGTGATGGGGTGATGGTGATGTAGTCACTACAGCTGGTGATGGGTGATGGTGATGTAGTCACTACAGCTGGTGATGGGGTGATGGTGATGTAGTCACTACAGCTGGTGATGGGGTGATGGCTGAGATGGTGATGTAGTCACTACAGCTGGTGATGGGGTGATGGCTGAGATGGTGATGTAGTCACTACAGCTGGTGATGGGGTGATGGTGATGTAGTCACTACAGCTGGTGATGGCTGAGATGGTGATGGGGTGATGGGGTGATGGCTGAGATGGTGATGTAGTCACTACAGCTGGTGATGGGTGATGGCTGAGATGGTGATGTAGTCACTACAGCTGGTGATGGGGTGATGGCTGTGATGGTGATGTAGTCACTACAGCTGGTGATGGGGTGATGGTGATGTAGTCACTACAGCTGGTGATGGCTGAGATGGTGATGGGGTGATGGGGTGATGGCTGAGATGGTGATGTAGTCACTACAGCTGGTGATGGCTGAGATGGTGATGTAGTCACTACAGCTGGTGATGGGGTGATGGTGATGTAGTCACTACAGCTGGTGATGGGGTGATGGCTGAGATGGTGATTTAGTCACTACAGCTGGTGATGGCTGTGATGGTGATGTAGTCACTACAGCTGGTGATGGGTGATGGTGATGTAGTCACTACAGCTGGTGATGGCTGAGATGGTGATGTAGTCACTACAGCTGGTGATGGGGTGATGGCTGAGATGGTGATGTAGTCACTACAGCTGGTGATGGGGTGATGGTGATGTAGTCACTACAGCTGGTGATGGGGTGATGGCTGAGATGGTGATGTAGTCACTACAGCTGGTGATGGGGTGATGGTGATGTAGTCACTACAGCTGGTGATGGGTGATGGCTGAGATGGTGATGTAGTCACTACAGCTGGTGATGGGGTGATGGTGATGTAGTCACTACAGCTGGTGATGGTTGTGATGGTGATGTAGTCACTACAGCTGGTGATGGGGTGATGGTGATGTAGTCACTACAGCTGGTGATGGGGTGATGGCTGAGATGGTGATGTAGTCACTACAGCTGGTGATGGGTGATGGCTGAGATGGTGATGTAGTCACTACAGCTGGTGATGGGGTGATGGCTGAGATGGTGATGTAGTCACTACAGCTGGTGATGGGGTGATGGCTGAGATGGTGATGTAGTCACTACAGCTGGTGATGGGTGATGGCTGAGATGGTGATGTAGTCACTACAGCTGGTGATGGGGTGATGGCTGAGATGGTGATGTAGTCACTACAGCTGGTGATGGGGTGATGGTGATGGTGATGTAGTCACTACAGCTGGTGATGGGGTGATGGGGTGATGGCTGAGATGGTGATGTAGTCACTACAGCTGGTGATGGTTGTGATGGTGATGTAGTCACTACAGCTGGTGATGGGTGATGGCTGTGATGGTGATGTAGTCACTACAGCTGGTGATGGCTGTGATGGTGATGTAGTCACTACAGCTGGTGATGGGGTGATGGTGATGTAGTCACTACAGCTGGTGATGGGGTGATGGTGATGTAGTCACTACAGCTGGTGATGGGGTGATGGGGTGATGGCTGAGATGGTGATGTAGTCACTACAGCTGGTGATGGTTGTGATGGTGATGTAGTCACTACAGCTGGTGATGGGGTGATGGCTGAGATGGTGATGTAGTCACTACAGCTGGTGATGGCTGTGATGGTGATGTAGTCACTACAGCTGGTGATGGGGTGATGGTGATGTAGTCACTACAGCTGGTGATGGGGTGATGGTGATGTAGTCACTACAGCTGGTGATGGTTGTGATGGTGATGTAGTCACTACAGCTGGTGATGGGGTGATGGCTGTGATGGTGATGTAGTCACTACAGCTGGTGATGGTTGTGATGGTGATGTAGTAACTACAGCTGGTGATGGGGTGATGGCTGAGATGGTGATGTAGTAACTACAGCTGGTGATGGGGTGATGGATGATCGACCGTCAATAACAAAGACGTCCGGCCACCGGATCACCAAATCTTCACCTTGCCGCCTCCCCAGCCATCCTTGCGCCCGTCCCAGCCGCCGTCCGGGCCCTGGGCCTCTCGCAGGGCCTCGGCCGCGGGGTACGGCGCCGCCTCGGGGTACCCGAGCACGCCCAGGTCGTGCAGGGCCCCCGCCCCCGCCGGCTCCCGGTAGCCAAAGCGGCCGTCCCGGCGGTCGCCCTCCCCGGCCGCCCCCTCGCCGCCGGCCGCGGGGCCGCCGCCGGCGAGGAGGCCCCGGGAGGGGGCGGCCTCGACGCTCGAGTCGGGGTGGCGGCGGGGCGAGAGGCTCCGCCAGGCGAGCCTGGGCCCCGCCGCTTGACCGGGCCGCGGGCCGTAGCCGGCCTTGATGCCTGCGTCAGGATATCCCTGTCGCCCCAGATTCTGAGATCCGCCTGCCTTCAGATTACCGTCAGGATATCCCTGTCGCCCCAGGTTCTGAGATCCGCCTGCCTTCAGATTACCGTCAGGATATCCCTGTCGTCCCAGATTCTGAGATCCACCTGCCTTCAGATTAACATCAGGATATCCCTGCCGTCCCAGATTCTGAGATCCGCCTGCCTTCAGATTACCGTCAGGATATCCCTGTCCTCCAAGACTCTGAGACCCGCCTGCCTTCAGATTACCGTCCGGATATCCCTGTCGGCCCAGATTCTGAGATCCGCCTGCCTTCAGATTAACCTCAGAGTATCCCTGTCCTCCCAGATTCTGAGACCCACCTGCCTTCAGATTACCGTCAGGATATCCCTGTCCTCCAAGACTCTGAGACCCGCCTGCCTTCAGATTACCGTCAGGATATCCCTGTCGGCCCAGATTCTGAGATCCGCCTGCCTTCAGATTAACCTCAGAGTATCCCTGTCCTCCCAGACTCTGAGATCCACCGGCCTTCAGATTAACGTCAGGATATCCCTGTCCTCCAAGATTCTGAGACCCGCCTGCCTTCAGATTACCGTCAGGATATCCCTGTCGTCCCAGATTCTGAGATCCGCCTGCCTTCAGATTAACCTCAGAGTATCCCTGTCCTCCCAGACTCTGAGATCCACCGGCCTTCAGATTAACGTCAGGATATCCCTGTCCTCCAAGATTCTGAGACCCGCCTGCCTTCAGATTACCGTCAGGATATCCCTGTCGTCCCAGATTCTGAGATCCGCCTGCCTTCAAGTTAACCTCAGAGTATCCCTGTCCTCCCAGACTCTGAGATCCACCGGCCTTCAGATTAACGTCAGGATATCCCTGTCCTCCAAGATTCTGAGACCCGCCTGCCTTCAGATTACCGTCAGGATATCCCTGTCGTCCCAGATTCTGAGACCCGCCTGCCTTCAGATTAACGTCAGGATATCCCTGTCGTCCCAGATTCTGAGACCCACCTGCCTTCAGATTACCGTCAGGATATCCCTGTCGTCCCAGATTCTGAGACCCACCTGCCTTCAGATTAACGTCAGGATATCCCTGTCGTCCCAGATTTTGAGACCCGCCTGCCTTCAGATTACCGTCAGGATATCCCTGTCGTCCCAGATTCTGAGACCCGCCTGCCTTCAGATTACCGTCAGGATATCCCTGTCGTCCCAGATTCTGAGATCCACCTGCCTTGACACTCACGTCAGGATATCCCTGTCCTCCCAGACTCTGAGACCCGCCTGCCTTCAGATTAACGCCAGGGTATCCCAGTCCTCCGAGATTCTGCGATTCGGCTACTTTCACACTCACGTCAGGGTACCCGTGCCCTTCGAGACTCTGCGATCCGGATTTGGCTCCTTCCGGGTATCGCTGCCGTGCACCGGCGTGGTGGTACCCTGCCCCCGAGTCCACGTCGGGGTATCTGAGAGCGCCCAGGCCCTGCACTCCGGCCTTGAGGCCCTCCTGGGATCCCGCGTGGGCGTATCGCTCCGGGAAGCGCGGGCTGGGCCTGAGCCCGGCGCCGGGGCTCAGGCCGTGAGGGCCGAGGTATTTCTGCGTGCCTCCTGCTCCTCCAATGGACGCTCCGACCGAGGTGGCAGCCTTCACCGAGCCCTGCCGATAGCCGTAGGGGCGCGGTCCGAAGTACCGGGCCGAGAAACCGTGCCCGGCCTTCGGGCTGCCAACTTGAGGCCTCCACGAGCCGCCGGGTTGACGCTGCACCGGCTGGAGGCGGTAGCGGAGGTGCTGCTGCTGTAGCCGCTGCTGCAGCTGCTGCTGCTGCTGCTGCTGCTGGTTGTAGGTGGCGTGTTGCAGGACGTGGCCGGACAGGGGCAGCACTGGGGGGGCGTAGTCGGGATTGAGGCTCTGTGAAGAGCCGGCCTTGAGGCCCACGGGGATGTGGGCCTGTCCTGAAGAAGGCCGCGACTGAGGGCCCTGCTGCTGTTGGCTGCCGTGGTGACTGTTGCCGATGTCTCGGTAGCGATTGTTGGGGGTGTAGACACCTGAACGACGACGATGACGTCCGCACGGACGACACACGCACGCACACACACGCGCACGCACACGCGCACACACGCACACACACACAGCACACACGCACGCACACACAAACACAAGCACACGCACGCACACACATACACACACACATACACACACACACGCACACACATACACACACACATACAAACACATGCACACACATACAAACACACGCACACACATACACACACACACACACGCACACACGCACATGCCTTGAGTGAGAGGTCAATGTGTAGCCGGGCCGGTGCTGGTTGAAGGAGTAGCGCCTCCCCGTGACCTCTGACATCATAGGCCCTGCCAACTGGCGATTGGTCCCCACTGCTACAGATTCCACCCATTGCTCAACGAGCCCCCAGCTCCACTGGTCTCTAAACCTGCAGAGTAGTTGCTGGGGGTCGGAGATCGGATGACCGATCTTTCCCTTAAGGGCGGTGATCGGTGTGGCCACCGCCAGTTACTTTTGTGATGGAGTTAACGACGAGAGATTTGTGATCGCGGGCTACCGAGGCAGACTCCATCTGCTCAGCAACCCGCGACCACCACCCATCCTCGCAGCGCCTCACGGCTCTCCGAACCTGCGGTAAGCCTCCTCATTCTCCGACGTGGGATTCTGTAGCCGATGACAGTGGGCCTGTCGCTTTTTCTCAACCATCCTGAACACCTCCTCTGTCAGCCAGGGTCTCTGGGGAGGTCTGGACCGCGTACCCAAAGCAGCCATTGCAGCTGCATGAGTCACAGTCCTAAACCTCGCCCATTTACCCTCGACATCAGGAGGCGTGGGGGACGATGCCAACCCCAGCCGCAAGCGATGATGAAATTCTCGCTTGCAACTTTCATCAGCTAGCTGAGACCAGGCCACTTTAGGTTGGAATGGGGTCCTGGGTGTACACCCACCACCGGAGCGGAAGAATGGCAGGCGCATCTTACAGATGACTAGTCGATGGTCAGAGGGCAGATCAGCTCCACGGTAGGTCCTGGTGTCAAGGACATGGGCTCGCATCCGCTGGTCCGTCACTATGTAGTCCAGCCGATGTTCTTGCTTGGACCCGGCATGTATCCATGATGTTGTGTGGATGCGCCGATGCCGGAACAGCGTGTTGGTAATTACAAGCCCATGGGCTGCACAAAAATCTAGCAGCCTCCTACCGTTGTTATTGAGCTGATCTGGCCCAAGCCCTCCAATCACTCCAGACCAGGTGCCAGCATCATGACCAACTTGGCAATTGAAGTCACCCAACATGATGACTCTATCCTGAGGTGCCACTTTAGCCAGCAACTGGGACGAGTCATAGAAGGCATCTGACTCATGGGCCTTGTCTGCATCCCTCCACTGGTGTTCATATTCAGTGGGAATGCAAGCCACGACCACCGCCACTCCTCACCTCCTGTTGATGGGGAGAGGAACTCACAGCAGCCTGAGGCTTACAGCTTCCCACACCTCACCGCCACGCTCCCACGCCCCCTTCATCGTTTCAAGAAGCAATGCCACTCCCTGTCGTTTGGCACTCTCCTGATCAGAGCAGAGGAATGTCCACCACTCGTGGTGATTGGAGCCAAAACCGGTTCGCTGGACCTCCTGAATGCCACAGATGTCCAGGCGGTAGCTATCCAGCTCCCGACGGAGGAATGGGCAGCCTCTCCTACCGCAGCACGAGTTCCAACATCCCGAGGTGGCTAATCGCAGAGCTCGCCTGTCCCCGGAGGAAACGCGATGCGGGTTTGGCCAGAAGGCGTCAAACGCTAGTCCCCTGGGGCCTCCGTCGCCACCTTAGTCGGGGTTTTCCCGCCGCGGCGTTTGCTAAGACGTAGAGCCAGGTGGAGGTGTTACCAGTCCCTCGCTAACCTAAAAGAAACGCACCGACCGAACTGCACACACGAACTTAACAACAACAACAACAGCAGTAGCAGCCATTCGCCACTAAGTGGCGGTGACGTTACCACAGGGCCTGTACCAGGCCATGTGCACCTTGAGGCCACGTGAAGTGTACAGGTCACAGGGCAGACCCAGCAGGTGCCACGGGTCGACTGACTGAGATGACTGAGATGACTGGCTGGTGCACCACCTGTGCCCCCTACTGTGCCAACCTGCTGTGCTTTAGCCGATCGGTGCTCCGCTCATTGTTGTGAGCGTCGCTCCTCCGCCCTCCGTTGTTGTTGGAGGGCGACTGCCTCCAACTGCCCAGTAGCGTCCTTCACGGGCCTCCTCCACAGAGGCCGATCTTGACACCGCTGGTACCGGTCATCCGCAAGTCCACTCAGCTCCACGTCCTCCTGTACCACATCACTCCATCTCTTCTCTAGCCCGTGCCGCCCCCTTCTAGCCCCCTCTATCCGGCCAAACAAAAGCTGTTTGGGAATCCGATGCCTGGGCATGCGGGCTACATGACCCAGCCAACGCAGCCTTGCCTGCTGGAGCTCACCGATAGGACTGTGTCCAAATTTTTCAAGGATTTGTGAACTCCTCACACAATCCAGCCTGCAGGTTAAATCCATGATGGATCGTAGGCAGGCTAGCCTAAATGTTTCTAACCAGCGAAGATGTTCCATTAGGGGGGTCCACGTTTCGCAAGCGTAGAGAAGGGAGGGAATGACCATGGCCGGGAAGACCTGAAGCTTAGTGCGGAGCGACAGACCAGGTAGCTTCCACATAGCTACGCAACCGATGAAAAGATATTGCCGCTCGACTGATTCGGAATGAGACCTCTGCTGTTAAACCGGAGCCGGTCATAAGCACACTGCCCAGGTATGGGAAACTCTCCACTCTCTCCACAACTGCCCCATCACCAACGGGGAGCTGAGGGTGTGGAGTGTTTGATGGCACAGAATACCCAAGCACTATCACCACCACCACCACCATTACCACCACCAAAAAACAAAGATCCCGCGTGTAGCCTTAACAGACTGTAGGGGCAAGTGCTGTTAGCAAGCACCTATCAAGGCCGGAACGGTACACGAGGCGGTGGGTGGCCAGCACCACGCCCGACCGCCTTTATCTCCCTAGTGGCGATGTTTACACACCGCACCAGGTACTCAATTGAGGCAGAGTCGACCTAGGGGAGGCCCGGGACCGGTTCAGATAATCGTCACCGGTGGTGTTGGCCGTGAGCGGGAATCGAACCCGGGTCGCCAGATTCATAGCGCAGCGTAGCGCTAACTGCTGCACCACCGCTCCCCACATTACCACCACTACCACCATTACCACCACCATCGCCACCACCACCGTCACCGTCACCACCACCGTCATCGTCACCATCACCACCACCATCACCACCACCACCGTCACCACCACCGTCACCGTCACCACCACCGTCATCATCACCACCACCACCACCGTCACCACCACCATCACCACCGTCACCACCACCACCACCGTCACCACCACCATCACCACCACCATCACCACGCGTGCTACTCAACTCTTCTGGAGCGACGAGTGGAGGAGGAGGCTGCAGACGAGAAGCCACGCGGGCAGACTCCACGTGGGAAGATTCATCGCGAGCGGAGAACGCAGAACGCGGTGGTGCCGATGGCGGTGACGGTGATGATGATGGCGGTGATGGTGGTGATGGTGGTTTCTCCACGGCGGTGGCGGTGATGTGAGAGTTGGTGATGTTGTGAAAATCGCGTTCGGCTGGGCAAGCGGTTTTATAATAATGATGTGGTGGGCGAGTGGGGTGGGTGGAGAGGTGAGGGGGGGGTTGGGGTCTGTCCGTGTCTGTCCGCATGTGTCCGTGTGTCTGTGTGTCCGTGTGTGTGCCTGTGTGTGTGTCCGTGTGTGTGTCTGTGTGTGTGTGTCTGTGTGTGTGACTGTGTGTGTGTATGTCTGTGTGTCTGTGTGTGTGTGTGTGACTGTGCTGTGTGTGTGTCTGTGTGTGTGTCTGTGTCACTGTGTGTGTGTGACTGTGCTGTGTGTAATTGTGTGTGATTGTGTGTGTGTGACTGTGTGTGTGTGATTGTGTGCGTGTGTAATTGTGTGTGTGTGCCCCAATGCGGTTTCAGGAAAGGGCGGTCCTGCACAGATGCCATGTTTTCTGTCCGTCTGCTACAGCAGAGGTGTAGGGAATTCCAACAAGACCTACATCTCTTCTTTATTGACCTGGTCAAGGCCTATGATACCATCAGTAGGCCTGGGCTCTGGGTTGTTCTTCGTGTTTATAGAGTACCTGACCCTCTGCTCACGATCATTAAGGACCTTCATGATGGTGAGCGGGCCCGGGTAAAACTACGTGGCCGGGAGTCAGAGCCTTTCCCTCTACACCTTGGGGTGCGACAGGGATGTCCTCTGGCTCCCACATTATTTAACATCTATTTTGACCACGTAGTTCGTGAAGCCTTCAATAGCTGTAACGGGGGAATCTCCATTTGGTACAGATATAAGGGAGGCTGATCGATGCCCGGGTGCGGTCAAGGGATGGCTCCCAATTGCTCAACCACGTTATGTATGCCGATGATTTGGTAAAAGTTGCTCATTCAGAGGAGGAGTTGGAGACGCTGCTGCTGAGACTGGAGCATGCAACTAAGAGATGGTGCCTTACCATCAGCCCCACCAAAACTAAGCACCTCACTGGGTATTTGTACCATCAGACACTCCACCCCCACAACTCCCAATCGCTGATGGGGCAGTTGTGGAGAGAGTGGAGAGTTTCCCATACCTGGGAAGTGTGCTTATGACCGGCTCCAGTTTAACAGCAGAGGTCTCACTCCGAATCAGTCGAGCGGCAATATCTTTTCATCGGTTGCGTAACGCTGTGTGGAAGCTACCTGGTCTGTCGCTCCGCACTAAGCTTCAGGTCTTCTCGGCCACGGTCATTCCCTCCCTTCTCTACGCTTGCAAAACGTGGACCCCCCTAATGGAACATCTTCGCCGGTTAGAAACATTTAGGCTGGCCTGCCTACGATCCATCCTGGGTTTATCCAGACTGGATTGTGTGAGGAGCTCACAAATCCTTGAAAGATCTGGGCAAGGTTCCATCGGTGAGCTCCTCCGGCGGGCAAGGCTGCGTTGGCTGGGCCAAGTAGCCCGCATGCCCAGCCACCGCATGCTGAAACAGCTTTTGTTCGGCCGGATCGAGGGGGCTAAGCGGGCGCGGCACGGGCTAGAGAAGAGATGGAGTGATGTGGTACAGGAGGACGTGGAGCTGAGTGGACTTGCCGATGACTGGTACCAGCGGTGTCAAGATCGGCCTCTGTGGAGGAGGCTCGTGAAGGACGCTACTGGGCAGTTGGAGGCAGTCGCCCTCCAACAACAACGGAGGGCGGAGGAGCGACGCTCACAACAACGAGCGGAGCGCCGGGTGGCTAAAGCACAGCAGGTTGGCACAGTAGGGGGCACAGGTGGTGCACCAGCCACTCATCTCAGTCAGTCGACCCGTGGCACCTGGGTCTGCCCCGTGACCTCCTGCCAGCGGGCGTTCGACACTCCACGTGGCCTCAAGGTGCACATAGCCTGGCACAAGCGTCGTGGTGACGTCACCGCCACTTAGTGGCGAATGGCGGTTGTTGTTGTTGTGACCGTGTGACTGTGTGTGTGTCTGTGTGTGTGTCTGTCTGTGTGTGTCTGTGTGTGTGTGTTTGTGTGTGTGTGTCTGTGTGTGTCTGTGTGTGTGTGTCTGTGTGTGTGTCTGTGTGTGACTGTGTGTGACTGTGTGACTGTGTGTGTGACTGTGTCTGTGTGACTGTGTCTGTGTGTGTGTGTAGGTGTGTCTGTGTCTGTGTCCGCGCTATGAACCCGGCCACCTGAGTTCCACTTCCACGCTCGGGGCCAAAACCGGCGATGGCGATTCTCTGAACCGGCCCGGGCCTCCCCTAGGTCGACTCAGCCTCAAACGAGCAGCAAACATCAGCAGCACTTGCCCCTAGCGGCACTTGCCCCTAGCGGCACTTGCCCCGACAGCACTTGCCCCTAGCGGCACTTGCCCCTAGCGGCACTTGCCCCTAGCGGCACTTGCCCCTACAGCACTTGCCCCTAACGATACTTGCCCCTAGCGGCACTTGCCCCTAGCGGCACTTGCCCCGACAGCACTTGCCCCGACAGCACTTGCCCCTACAGCACGTGCCCCTAACGACACTTGCCCCTAGCGGCACTTGCCCCGACAGCACTTGCCCCTGCGACGCAGCGTCGACTACGCGGGGGACCTTTGCCTGTGTGTGCGGTGGCACGGCCGTGCGCCCTGACGCGTGGGCGAGAATTCTCTCGCCTAGGGGACATTTCTCATGCCTGTGTGACACACACAGACACACACAGACATACAGACACACACAGACACACACAGACATACAGACACACAGACACAGAGACACACAGACACACACACAGAGACACAGAGACACAGACACACACATAGACAGAGACACACAGACACACACAGACACACACAGACATACAGACACACACAGACACACACAGACATACAGACACACACAGACATACAGACACACAGAAACACACATAGACACACAGAGACACACAGACACACAGACACACACAGACATACAGACACACAGAGAGAGACACAGACACAGAGACACACAGACACACACATAGACAGAGACCCACAGACACAGACAAAGATAAAGATCCCCCGCATAGCCTTAACAAACTGTAGGGTCAAGTGCTGTTAGCGAGCACCTATGAAGGCCGGATCGGTACACGAGGGGGTGGGTGGCCAGCACCACGCCCGACCGTCTTTGACTCCCTAGTGGTGATGTTTACACACCGCACGAGGTACTCATTTGAGGCTGAGTCCACCTAGGGGAGGCCCGGGACCGGTTGGCCGTGAGCGGGAATCGAACCCGAGTCGCCAGGTTCATAGCGCAGCGTAGCGCTAACCGCTGCACTAGACAGAGACACACAGGGACACACACAGTGACACACAGACACAACAACAACAACCGCCATTCGCCACTAAGTGGCGGTGACGTCACCACGACGCTTGTGCCAGGCTATGTGCACCTTGAGGCCACGTGAAGTGTCGAACGCCCGCTGGCAGGAGGTCACTGGGCAGACCCAGGTGCCACGGGTCGACTGACTGAGATGACTGGCTGATGCACCACCTGTGCCCCCTACTGTGCCAACCTGCTGTGCTTTAGCCACCCGGCGCTCCGCTCGTTGTTGTGAGCGTCGCTCCTCCGCCCTCCGTTGTTGTTGGAGGGCGACTGCCTCCAACTGCCCAGTAGCATCCTTCACGAGCCTCCTCCACAGAGGCCGATCTTGACACCGCTGGTACCAGTCATCGGCAAGTCCACTCAGCTCCACGTCCTCCTGTACCACATCACTCCATCTCTTCTCTAGCCCGTGCCGCGCCCGCTTAGCCCCCTCAATCCGGCCAAACAAAAGCTGTTTCGGCATGCGGTGGCTGGGCATGCGGGCTACATGACCCAGCCATCGCAGCCTTGCCTGCCGGAGGAGCTCACCGATGGGACCCTGCCCAGATCTTTCAAGGATTTGTGAGCTCCTCACACAATCCAGTCTGGTTAAACCCAGGATGGATCATAGGCAGGCCAGCCTAAATGTTTCTAACCGGCAAAGATGTTCCATTAGTGGGGTCCACGTTTCGCAAGCGTAGAGAAGGGAGGGAATGACCGTGGCCGAGAAGACCTGAAGCTTAGTGCGGAGCGACAGACCAGGTAGCTTCCACACAGCGTTACGCAACCGATGAAAAGATATTGCCGCTCGACTGATTCGGAGTGAGACCTCTGCTGTTAAACTGGAGCCAGTCATAAGCACACTGCCCAGGTATGGGAAACTCTCCACTCTCTCCACAACTGCCCCATCACCGATTGGGAGTTGTGGGGGTGGAGTGTCCGATGGTACAAAATACCCAGGCAGGTGCTTAGTTTTGGTGGGGCTGATGGTAAGGCCCCACCTCTTAGTGGCACGCTCCAGTCTCGGCAGCAGCGTCTCCAACTCTTCCTCTGACTGAGCAGCTATTACCAAATCATCAGCATACATAACGTGGTTGAGCAATAGGGAGCCATCCCTTGACCGCACCCGGGCATCGATTAGCCTCCCATTATATCTGTACCATATGGAGATTCCCCCGGTACAGCTATTGAAGGCTTCACGAACTACGTGGTCAAAATAGATGTTAAGTAATGTGGGAGCCAGAGGACATCCCTGTCGCACCCCAAGGTGTACAGGGAATGGCTCTGACTCCCGGCCACGTAGTTTTACCCGGGCCCGCTCACCATCATGAAGGTCCTTAATGATCGTGAGCAGAGGGTCAGGTACTCCAAAAGCACGAAGAACGACCCAGAGCCCAGGCCTACTGATGGTATCATAGGCCTTGACCAGGTCAATAAAGCAGAGATGTAGGTCTTGTTGGAATTCCCTACACCTCTGCTGTAGCAGACGGACAGAAAATATGGCATCTGTGCAGGACCGCCTTTTCCTGAAAAACCGCATTGGGGCTCCGCAAGCCTCTCCTCAGCGTGCCTGGCAAGGCGATGTTGAATAATCCTTGCCAGGACCTTTCCCGTCACAGACACACACAGAGACACACACATAGACACAGAGACCCACAGACACACAGAGACACAGAGACACACAGACACACACATAGACACAGAGAGACACACAGAGACACACAGAGAGACACACAGAGACACACAGAGACACACAGGGACACACAGACACA